ACAATTGTATTTTGGCACCATAATCATATGTCTTTTTGTAATTTCTTTTTAAGTTAAACAAAAGACTTTAATTGTGGCAGAAGTTTATCAAAAATATCAAAAGATTTTAAAACACTTGGTCAAATAGGAAACAATGTCTAGTTATTCATTTAATCAAGTTGACAGCAGAAACAGTCAAAGGCAAACAGAGAGTTAAAACAGTCAAAAAACAAAAACCTTAAGAGAGAGACTTTAGTCCTTTTGAACATAGGAAATTATTTTAACAAAACATAGGTGTTTTGTCTTTTACATAGACTTACTCAAAGGAACACCTTTTAATTTTTATATAAAGAGCAGACCAAAAGTTTAAGAAAATTATCTTTATAAGAGAGAAAGCCAAATCCTAATTTTTTATCAGCCTACTTTAGCCAACTTGATTATGTACAAAACTCCTCAGGGTTTTACTTTTATAAACTTTTTGTTACTTACTTTTTTGTATCTAGAATTTGTCCTGTGTCTTTTATTTTATAGTACTTTAGGACAAATTTATCTTTTTTAATAAAACAAACAAAAATATCTCTATTTTTTATATCTTTTTTATGGACAATATATATTTTGCTTTTTTTGTATATAAACTTTTTAGAAATGTGTATTTTTTTATAGAAAATTTTTTAACATGCACAGAGCATGTTTGTCAATAAACGCAAGCATTTTTTAGTTTTTCTGAGATAAGAAACCAAAGGCAGACAAATCTATGCTTAGTAACCAATTTTTAATGTTTTATCTTATGTGGAAATGACCCAGGGACTCAATAAATTTTTATTAACTTAATTTAGCAAAACTCTAAAGCTTCAAGTTACCAAAAAGATTTTGGAAGCTGTTTTTGAAATAACTTTGTCTTTTAGAGGTCTCTGTGTATTAATTAAAGATTGCATTTTATCGTGAGTGGTTTTGAATCCTCTCTTTTAAGGGTGACCCTTAAGGTGAACTCATCTGAAACAGATTCTCCAGAATAGCCATCAGAATTTCAAAATACTTCAAAAGTTTATTTATTTTTACTTGCTTAATTTTGGATCAGGTATCCCGGGGGAGCTGAAGCGGGGAAGCTCCCAAGAGAGGGGAGAGGAGCGGCAGATTCAGCTTCGGCTGCTGGCATGTTTAATTACTTAATTATTTTTTCTTAAAGAGGCAGTACAGTATTCCCCATTTTATTTAGAAATCTCAAAAGATTAAAATAGGCTTCCCACTAGTTGTTTAACTTTTTAGCTGGCTGTTTTTAATTGCATAAGCAAATACATCAGTTTTGTTAAACTGAAATTGCCCCATTTTGGCCACTATTTTTCTGGAGTCTATGGAATATTGTGGCCATGTGGTGTTACAAGAAAAAACTATCTTCTTTTTGGACATGGGCTCCTAGCTGGTCAGCCCATTTAGCCAAGAGGTGGCCCAGGGGGCTTTTCTTGGGGACAGATGGAATTCCCCCCCTTCAAAATTACAAACATACAGAACAGACAGTCAAATGAGATCCCAAACAGAACAGATAGGTGTATCTAACAGATTCCGGGTAAAAGTCCTACAACTATTCCCTCTCCAGTAGGGATAGCCCTGCCTCTTAAAGAGATAGGACCCCAGATGGAGGGGAAGAGAATTCTCGGTGTAAGCAAAAACAAACAAACAGACAAACAAACAAATAATTTTAGAGCCTGTTTCCCTGTCATAAGAAAACATGCCCAGGGTCAGCAGTGCAGGGTCAGATGGAAAGCACTGGGAGCAGTCCCTAGGGCAAATCACCTAGGCAGCTGCTGGACTGTTTCCCAGGACAGCCCAGGGCCGCCGAGCCACGGGCAAGGAGCCTCCCATCTGGCTCGCCAAATTATTATTGGATACATATTTAGGCTCTCTATTTGTCACATAAGAGGGGCCAAATAAAACTAGAATGCCAGGCTCCTGGCAAGGAAAGAGTTCCTATTTTGGGTGACATCAGCCGGGACTGTAAATCTGAAGCTTTTTTTTCCGAGAGTACCTTCTCCCTTGTATTTTACCCCCATCTTCTATAACCCGACGATAAGCAGTCAATAAACAACAACCTCGCTGTGCCAGAAAAGAAACATCGTCTCTCTCTTTTTCCCCCACCATCTGCAAAGCTTTAGTCACGTCTAATGATTCATATCTCGAAGACGAACATCCCAAGATTCACATAATCCTGACCTACGAGCCCACTCCCCAGCCACAGTGTAAGAGGGAGGGTCCTCCCATCCTGAAATTTCTTCCACCTTGGCTTCAGTTACCTTTTGTTTGAACAGGAAAGTCATCTCCTTAATCAAATCCTGCTCACAGTGCCAATTACGTTATGAGAGGTTTGGGGATTTGATCGGAGATGTAAAAGAAACTTTCCACTCCAAACAAATGGACTGAAGGTATATTTTATTACATAGAGGATAGTAAAGGCAATAGTCCACAAACAGATCCGAGTAGGTCAAATATTAATATAGGACATATAATGAGAGGGAAAAACATCAGATTGACTGGAAAGGGAAAACAGCCAAATCGACTGAAGGGAAATGACACAAATCAACCGGAAAGAGAAACACCAGGTTGAATGAAAAGAGAACACCTCAGATCAGTTACTCACAACATCCACGCCCCACTGCCGGGGAGAGTCCCTTCAATTGACACGGCTGGGCGGGAATCCGATCATCAGAGGTCTTGGGCTGGGCGTCCCCCCTACAGGTGAGACTCTCACCGGGCCTCGGTTTTTAGCAGTTTATATAAGCAGTTACAGAGTTTACAGAGCAAGCATTTAGTGTTCCCATGCACAAATGGTTATCAGTGGCACACGTGCACTGAGCCTCCTGGCTATCATCTCAGCCCAGCAGTTGTGTACGTGCATTGTTTACCCTGGTTATCGTCCCAGCCAGGCACAGATGGCCAGTCTGCCCCAGGCTGCGGCGCCCGAAGGGCCTTGAAATTTTTACACATTGCAACGATCTCCATGGGAGAAGGGCCAGTTTCCACCACGCAGAAAGCAGCTTTTGTATTTCTTTTTGTGCTGGTGGCTGTAGGTCAATGGAGTGGCCAAACATGGCTGTACTCATGTCAAGACGCCAGGTGATTCTAATCACATGCATCCAATTTTGAGAATGCCTGCTCCCTGCCTCTTTCCTCCTCCTCCTTATTTTGTTTTATTCTTATTTTTTAAATTATTTTATTGAGGTCATATTGGCTTATAACATTGTGTAAATTTCAGGTGTACATTATTATATATCAACTTCTATGTAGACTGCATCATATTCACCACTGGTAGTCTAGTTTTTAATCCATTACCATACACATGTGCCCTTTTACTCCTTTCCCACTCCCCCTACACCTCTCCCCTCCGGTAACCACTAATCTATTCTCCTTATCCACGTATTTGTTTATCTTCCACTTGTGAGTGAAATCATACGGTGTTTGTCTTTCTCCTTATTTTAATGAAGGGAATAATACTGTGTAGAAAGTGGTTGTGACATCGGTCTAGAGAAGTCTCTGAACTAGAAGCAAGAAAATGAGATTATAGAAAATAGTTCAGGGCCGGCCCCGTGGCTTAGCGCTTAAGTGCGAGCACTCTGCTGCTGGCGGCCCGGGTTCGGATCCCGGGTGCGCACTGATGCACCGCTTCTCCAGCCATGCTGAGGCTGTGTCCCACATACAGCAACTAGAAGGATGTGCAGCTATGACATACAACTATCTACTGGAGCTTTGGGGGAAAAAATAAATAAATAAAATTAAAAAAAGAAAATAGTTCAATCAAGAGATGATAAAGTCCTTTAAAGAGTATAGTGACTTGAGGCTAGTGCCGAGTTTTGAATTTAAAAGGCTTAAGTAGAGAAATCCACGTGGCTTGATCATGGATTAGGTGGAGGGGAAGGAGAGTGATGATGAGCCAAAGATAACCTCACTTGGATGTCTGGGTTTGGTGATGTCACCAGTCAAAAGAGGGAAGGCACTGGGAAGTCCTGGTTGGGGGTGGGTGCAGGTACAAGGCGAAATAATGAATTCAGTTTTGGAAGGGCTGCCTGAAAGGTACCTGCAGTTTATAAGATGCGCTAAGGGACATTTGGATCTCAGGACAGAGGAAAAGGCACCATTTCAAAATCTAGGCAGGCCATCCACATTGGAAATTTTTTCAGCGGAGAGCAGATCCAACCCTTAATCAGAGTGAGGACTCCAGTGTTGAGAGTAGGGTACTTACAAGCACAGGGTGAATTTTCTGTCCTAGAGACTCTGGACACTGAACTGGACACCACAATGGTGTCATGGCACAATAAAGATAATGTGTGCACCAAAAAGGAGGTACAAGCAGACCCCTAACCAGAGTCTCATCCCAAGGGGAGTGAACCTGGACCTGGGCTGCAGGTTCTTCACCTTCTCTCTGTGTGTTTCATTAACATCTCATCATTTTAGCGTAACAGTTATCATATCAAAATATTAGCTTAAAAGGTGCTTCTTCTTAGGGAAGGCAAATGCTTCCTCTCTCTCTAGCTATGCCTCTGAGGACAAGGCAGCAACTTAGATGATGGGGATAAGGCAGCATCCAGTTTTTAGGGACACAGTTAAGGCCAGTCTTCTCTCAAAAATGCCTTGAAGCTCAGGCCCAGGGCTCTGAACTAGACAGAGCTGTTGCTGAAGGTCAAGACTCGTTCCAGATGCTGGGACCTGCAAGTGGGGACAAAGTTCTCCAGAGAGAGGGGATGGGGTCCGTGGGGACAGCATTTGACGCAGTGGCACCCTGAAATTGCTCGTAAGACAGTTGATCTGTAATCCTTCAACAAACCATCGTATTCTCTTGTACTGTCCGGTCCCCATTAATCAGAACATCGTTGCAGTATATCTAAACTGAAAGGAACCGCTTAAATAATTATCCATGAGGGTATCCAATGTTGGAACTTCTTCTTTAAGAAATGAAGAATATTGAAGTATTGTAATATGCCAATTGAAAGTTATTTTTACTTACATTTGTCTAATGCTTTTTCCCATGAAAGCTTCAGTTCATGCCAACAAGTAGGATCCCTGAGGTCACTACCACCTGCCAAACTTCAGCATGTAAGGTAATTAAACTAGGATTGAGCCATTGGTGTCATGTTTCCCATATGAAGGATAAGACTTACCAAGGGCCGAATGTCACCATGGTTTATGAGGTTCAGAAAGTGAAGCACTAATACATTTTTTTAACTGCCATCATTTTTCTTTTCTTATTAGAGTGATACATGTTTATTAGGGAAAATTTAGGAAATAAAATATAAATAAGAAAATTCAAATCACTTGTCTTAACTGCCTGAAGATGATGATCGTTTTAAATATTTTAGTATATTTCTAATATTTTCTCTGGATATATATGTGTGTGTGTATATATGTGTGTGTATATATTTAATCGTATATACATCCATATTTGTGTGTGTGTGTATATAAATACAGAGAGAGAGAAAGAAAGGGAGAGAAAAAGAGAGAGTTGATTCAGTCCGTGGTTATCTATTTGCCTAGAAGTATGTTGTGTATGTAATTCCAACATTGTTGCTTGTTTGCTAAATGTCATATTATATTACATTCCTCAAATATCTGTTAATATCTAAAATTTAAAGTTTAGAGGGGAATTTTTGAACCTGTAGAGCTTTTCACTTTTACCAATCACACACAAAAAATGTGGAAAACTCTACAATCTTAGTTATTCACATTTCTTAACAGGCAGATGATGGGATTGATAAACCCCAGCTAAACTTTAGATAAATAGATTACTGAGATATATACACCAGGGAGCCAAAGGCAAGTAATCTCTGTTGGGAGGAAGTCAGGAAGCACACTGTGTTCTCAATCTGGGCTCTTCTGCCTCGTAAAGAAGATCAGATATCTTGACTCAGCCCAGCTCTGTTGAAACAAATTCTGAATGAGCCATTACAGTGGTACACATTTGCTTGTCTGTTTTCCAAGCTTCTGCTTTTTAAGGTTTTTATTCATAATAAATATCACCTAATGTCATAAGGTTTTGAGGGGAATGGTAATTAATTATAAACAAACTGGCTACCCAAAAATAAAAACACGTCCTTTGATATTTAAGGAGAAGGCGAAAACTCAGAAAATCAGGCCTTCGGGCGATGACTTGAAGCATGAGTCTCTTGCATCCTTTGAGCTTTCAGTCAGCCGTGGGGGCTGGAAAAGAAGCACAGAAGAGACAGACTCTGATATAGAGTACATCTCAGAGACTAAAATGGTGAGGAGGTCTACACAGAAGACAGGGTACCCTCAACAGCAGAGATGTCCAGCAGCCCTGCCAGCAAGTGTCAAACTAGCTGAGAGATCCCAGGTGGGTTTTTTTTTTTCTTTTCTTATTCACAAAATGTATAGTAATTCCCTTATTCAAAAAATAACATTTGGTAAATGTTTTGCTTCATTTTCACACTTTTCAAGTACTCTAACTATAGCATATACATTGTCATCTGAGTTTCCTGGACAAGGTCCCAATTTTTATTTTTTCTTCAGTGTTCTCTCTTTTGGAGGAAAAGTCAGACTGCTAATACCAGCACATCAGCACAGTGTGTGGGAAGCTCTGCCAACTGAAGGGCCCCCAAAGAACGCCTGGGTGGGAAAAGGATTTTAAATCTGAATTTAAGAGAGAAATACTCACATAGGATAAACCTGTAATCTTGAGCATTTTGTGTTCAATGCTTTATAGAAAAATGCTTAGCCAAATTCTACAGTAGGTAGTTACCCCTGTAGTCAAGGTTCTGGAAAAATGGGATATAATGTCGATAATACAACTAAGTATTGACACTGATTTTAACAAATGTTCTACCCCAGAATTTCCGTATATCCAAATGCGTTTGTTTCTTTTAAGAGAGTCACTACACTTTCATTCTTACAATGTTACCCTTATTTAATTCCTTTTGAGAATTTGCCCTTAGATTCAGTTGAATTATTGTTATTAAATAACAATACCTACAATTGAGTGGGCATTTACCTTGTGCCGGATTCAGTGCTAAATGATTGCAGACATTATCTCACTACCATTTTAAATCTTTCATAAGCCAAAATTTATTGCCTAGTTTATCTGCCTTGTTCATAAAATTTGATTGCCAATGCCTTTTTACTGTTTCCAACAATTAAACTCGCCTTTAAAGGGTGGATATGGGCCACCATAGAAATATTCAAATGAACTGCCATAGGCTCTGAAAGTGATAAACTAATTTGATCGGCATGTATCTCCTGAACTTTTGCCCTGTGTAACATACTGTGTTAAGCATTGTGGGAGACAAGATATTTTAGGCATGGTTCTTTCAAAAGGAATTATTCTGAACAATAGTTACATTACAGAAATATCTCACATTTCTCTGTAATATCTTTGGCAAATGGCGTATAGACTCTTATTGAAAATCTTTAGTGATGGAGACTCATTACCTCCGCCTTTTCTCATTCCATTTTTGGGTAGCTCATTCTCTTAAAATATTTGAAGTCCAATTCCCTATCACTTTGAAGTTTTGGCCCTTAATCTTTCTTTGAGACTATAGAAGCCAAGCTGAATCTGTCTGCAGTTGTCAAAATTTTACTTTTAATTTTGTATCGTATAAGTACAAGTTGATATATTCCGCAGATATTCATTCAACCCTTGCTGTGTCCAAAATACAGCATGTTTTCAATATAAAAAGTAGTTTCATCACTTTACAGTCACATCTCCCTTATATGTATATATATAATCATCTATTATGTGCTATTCAGTATGGCAGGCAGCTACAGGGGATTCTCCTGTGAGAAAAACCACATACAGTCCCTGCCCCATCGAACTTCCATGGAGACAGATAATCCAATAATTATACAGACAAATGCAAACTGCTACTTGGCCAGTTTTTATAACTTACTAGCGTGAGTACTTATAATAGGGGATTTGACTCTGTATGGGAGGACAGGGAAGTCTTCCCTGAAAAAGAGATGACTGAACTTTTAGGATTGAATTCCAATTAAATTGGTAAAAGATGAGGAAAAGCATTTCCAAGCAATGCAAACAACATTTTCCCAAGAGGGAACACAGTGAATACAAAGTACCTTAAGAAGACAACTAAGCTATGACAGGGCAGAGAGATCAAAAGGGGCTGTGGCGTGAGATGAGTGGGGAGTGACCAGAACCATGCGGGTCCTGCAGGCGTTGATAAGGGGTTTTGCATTTGTCCTAAAAGCAGTGGCAATCTATTGAAGGGTTTCAATCAGGGAAGTGACGTTATCAGATTTTCCTCTAGAAAAGATTGCTTTGGCTGAGTATGAAGGAAAGGTTAGTAGAGAGCAGAGTGAATGTGTGCAGAGCACTTAGGAGGCTATGCAGTGGCCTCCTGGGGAAGTAACAGTAGTGTGGGCTAGGGTGACGGTGGTGGAGTGGAGAGAAGGGAAAATACATTTGTTCCTTGTGTGTTTGTCTGGAGGGAACACTGAGCTGTTTTCAGGATGTATTGGATACAGAAGGTGAAGCAGAGGGATATGGCAAGAATGACTATGGAATTTCTGGCTCTTGCATCTGGTTGGATGGTGATTCCATTCATTGAAATAGGGAATCCTAGAAGGTGTCTGGGCTTGTGAGTTGGAACATGAGTTCAGCTTACATGGTGTGAGACTTCCAAGAGGACATGCCAAGTAAGGAGGAAGGGTAAGAAGAAAGTCAAGACTGGACAGAAACTTGAGGGATTTTAGCATCTTATGGCCAGCTGTTGGAGGATAAATGTGCACAGTGATTGTGAAGGAATGGCCAGAGCAGTAAGAAGAGAAACCAGGAATTTGTTTTATCATTAAAGCTAAGAAGGAAAAAAGGCAATTCAAAGAGATATGGTCAGAGAGCCTAAATTCTGTTGAGAGGCCAAAGGCCTAAAAAAGTCCATTGACTTAATGACTTTAGAGGTAATAGAGATGAGCTCAGGAGGAATTTTATTGTTTCTGTTGGAGTGAAGAGGGTAGAAAGCAGATTAGAATGGATTGATTACCAAGTGGAAGGTGAGGAAATGGAGACAGGTTGTATGTCAGTTCTTGGAAAGATAAGATCATTTTATTTCAGAAGATATTCTATACTTATAAAAATCTAGAAGTGAGGTAGATAGGAGACTGTGAAATTCTTTATAAACATTTGAAAAATGAATTTAATCAAGTTTTAAACTGCAATTGAAACAATTTTCAATTACTTGAGGATTATTTACAGTAAATTTCTAGCATCTTGTCCAATAAGCACAACGCTAGGCATTACTACTATCAGAGGAGGTGCAGGAAGTGTAATTAATTTTAATATTAGTCTGAGTAGATGGAATTAGGAAGGCAGATATGCTCCAAGTAAATCTTGTCATATTCCCCAAAAGCTTGATAAAAATGGCTCTGGAATTAGCTAATGTTTTAGCTTATATGGACCACAGTTCAGCTCTATTAATACAGGGAATTAATTAATTAACTGTTCTTCCTGGAGAATTGTTTTTATTAGACCCTTTTGTTTCTCAGGAGATTCCACTTTCTTCATCCTAAACAACTTTCCCCCCTATTTCCTGAAAACAGGGCTCCCAATAAAAATAATACACTTATTGTTTCCTACATCTGCAACTTTTAATTCCTTTGAATTTTCCCTCAATGACCTTTGTTAATTCTTTTCACTCAACAAACGTATATTAAGCATTTACTCTGGACCAGGTGCTGAGAACTCAGAGACGGACACAATTCTTTCCCTCCAGAAGCTGAGTCTACCTCTAGCCATTCCAATCAAAGGAGACCTTTCCCTGCATCATAAATTTTCCATTCCAGTGGTTTCCCACTTTTTCAAGTAGGAGGAAATCTTTTCAATATCAAAAAATGACTGCAGACATCTCACATAATATTAGGTATGTCTAGTATCCATTGATTAAGAACGATGTAAGAGGAGAAAGCCATCATATATATTTTGAAATGAATGTATATTTTATCCCCCGTGGCAACATCTACATAAATTTTCACAACAATGTGCATATCCACATGAGACATCATTTATTCAGTTTATGGACAATAATTCATGCAGATTCTTTGCAAAATACTGTGAGCTCTTTGATTCACCATTGAGCACCATAGTCAACACCACTCATTTCATACTTAATTTGCTTTATGATAGTCCTTTTTTATTATGTGTTGTTATTTAACCTTTACGTGTGCTTATCTAAATCATACACTTCTTGAGGGCAAAGATCAGAAATTGAATTTCGTTTCTTAATCCTACAGAAGTCTGCTTCTGTACAGAAGTTACTAGAGGCTGAATGAAGGTGGTTTAATGTGTACCATTGATTGCTACTAATCTTTGTATATTTTTTGTTAATACCTTGCTATAGGCCTCTTCTTGGGAGGTGAGAAGGAAGCAGAGCCCATACCTTGTGCAGGAATGTGAGGCTTTGATGGAAGTTGAAACCAGCAACAGCGATCCAGATATAATCCTGGTGAGATAAACTTTCCCAACTAAATGACACCTTGAGATTTATTCACATTTGTAAAGATTAAAAGAATCCAAGAAGCAGTGTACATTAGTGCCTCAAAGGAAATGAAACATTTAGTTGAATAACTTAGTTTTTAGGTGAAGAAATAAGACTCAGAATTGCCCAAGGCTACACAACCTAGTAAAAATACAACTGGGACTTATACCTCCTGACCACTAGTCCATGATGCTTTTCATTTTAGAGAAAGCTTTAATATTATGTAAATATATATAAATTATAACTTGAGGGTCATCCCAAAACCTGCACGCCCAAATCCAAAGCATATGAACCTTTCTGTAGTTCGTAATATGGATTCTCACCAGAAAGTGTAATTCTAAATTGACTTAAACTAGACCACTGCCAAAAGCCCTATTGAGAGAAGTCTATTCAAGAAATATGGACACACTTTCCATTTAGTCCTCTAGGTTATGTATCCCTGATCCTAACTTGGTAGTCAATATTAAAGACCTCCATACCTGGACTGCTCTACCATAGACCCCAGGAGAGTCGCTTTCCCTCACTGAACAAGTGTAAAAGCCCTTGGTGTTTAGGAAGAATTGACTCAAGGTCTGGCCATATGAGGAGCACTTCCTCTGTGAAGCCATGTTAAAAACGTTGTCCATTATGCTCTGTAGTGCCCTTTGTATTATGATAGAAAAGTCTGTTTAGACATTAGAATTTAATGTCAGGAAAAAAATCTATTTGATATTTTCTCTTATCAGAATATGAATTTTATTACTCACTGTAGCTCTCTTTTTACCTTGATTGCCAAGAAGCTGCTAGCTAAACCTTAATCTAAATAAGAATAACTACAGTTGCCTAGATGCTTGCTGTTTTTTGACATAATAATATAAGTGAGAATATTTAGAAAAGGGCCTGGCCTCATCGTTCCTGTCTTTAGATGAGGAACCTCAAAATGCAGTATTTGGAATTGTGGATTAGGTTTCAATTACAAATGAGCCAATAAGGAATGTATAGTATCTTCTGACTTTAGCCTAAGTTATGTGCCCTTCGGCAGATGAGCGTTGTCACGTGGTATATGATATAACAGTAGTGGAGGTTTTATTTAAAAAATTTTTCATTATGGAAAATTTCAAATATAGTACAATGAACTCCTAGGTGCCCATTTCCCAGCTCCAACAATGATCAACTCATGGCCAGTCTTGTTTGGTCGATATTCCCTCCCTGCCCCCATTACTCCTGGATATCATATCCTTTCATCCATAATTATCATTGTTTTAAGAAGCCATCACAGAAGGGATGGTGAAAAGGTCTAGGAGTGATTTGTGAATGGGAGCAGAAAAAACCCCTTCATATTAACCATAAGGAACAACTAAAATCAGGATGTGAAGAAAGAGAACACCAAGGCATTTGCAAAAGAAAAAGCGTCAAAACTTAATCAGAAGCCAGAAAGAGAAGAGTACAACCAGTGTTGTACAGAACGCCACCTGTTTCCCTCTTTGAAGCACATGCCATGTAGCTGTACCTGGAGTGCTACCTGTCCCCACCTGCTTTGCACAATCCTCAAAGTCTTGGCGTGTTATTTTTCATGTAGCCATTGCTTTGTCACCTCTCTAAGCTTTGCATCCAGCTTTTAGCAAGTGCTTTTTCATAAATTAGATGTGACATTTATGTTCAAACTATTGTTGTCTTTTTATGTAATATTTCTCAAGTTCTTATGTTACTTGTGTGTTTGTGTGTGGTATGATTTATTTATGTCCCTGTGATCCTAGAAGGAAGTCTGTTTTCAAACTCATGGTGTCTAATTAATTTGGATAAATATGCATTATCTAGGATGCACATTAATTTCTCTGTTTGGCTGTAGTTGCCGTAATTCCAGTAGGAAACAATTGCTTCTGAATGCTTGTCTGTCTGTACTTTCTTAAACTCAGAAATTAAAAAATGATTCCTCTTAACCCCTAGGCTCCTTCCCAGTTATGTTCTAACTCTAGTGCTTGTGTGTGTGGGTGTGTGTGGGTGTGGCATGCACATGCATGCACATGCTTTAATTCTAACCCTGTACCTGTCAAATGTAAAGAAAGAAGGCACTCAGGGATAACAGTGCTGCAAGAGGCTACCACTTAAGGAACAACAACTAGCTACCACACAGGACACCCTCCTGTTGCCCCCACCCCCAACCAGGCGGTTTCATTATTTTTGTGAATTTGCTGGCGCACAGGGCCTTATTTCAGGTGTAATAGTTTCAGACATATATGTTTAGCACACTAAAGAAACTCTATCTCACCGGGATGATTTCACATTATCCAAACCTGTGAGACTGTTGTGTACTAGCATAATGGCAGTTTAGTCGCTTAAAGGATAAATACATCCTCTGGCCGATTGGAAGATACATGTTGACTTAGGCTGTGCCTTCTCTCCCTTTATGCCAGTCTGCGTGGGTTGGCCCGTTACATCTGACAGTTGCTGGTGAGCTGTGCATCTGGATGTTTAAAAGCCCTCCAGTTGAGACAGCCTGCTGTGTCCACCTCCCCACAAGGGACGATGTTACCAATTCGACTGTAACACCCAAAGGGCAGAGCCTGGCACGCTCGCCCTGTGCCTACCTGTGCTCCTGTGAGTGTGATTTTTCTCGTTGTAGGGAGAACGACTCCATTCTGATCAGCACATTCTTTCTTTTGCGGTGTGAGTAATGTCTGTCAGTCTGCCTTTTGAAAGGGTTTTTTCCATATTAGCGCACTTCATTGCCCTCTGTTCGAAGTTTCAGGTACACGTCACTCTGGCTCTCATATTGACGGTTGTGCAATTTCAAGTGACGTGATAAGCGTATTGATTACTTTTCAGATTTATATTGCATCTGACCATTGCTGATTGTTTCAGCAGTATTTATCATTTATTTTCCAAAATCGCCTCCTCTGCCGTGCCTCAGTGTTTAAACAATTTGGTCTGTTTTCCTGACTTCTTCCTCCTCCCCTGCCCCCTAATTCTTGATTGAATGCTCTCCATATTCCTCTTTCTCCAAGGCCTACAGTCTATTGAAGCCTTTTGTTAAAACAACATTCTTTTGTTTTTTCGTTTCCCAGTGGGATCATCCTTATTTTCTAGTCATTTTTAATGTTTGTCTCTTTGTCCTGCAATGTGTGTCACGTTTAACATGCTCCCAAATCATTCATGTGGTGTTGGCCTTCATTTTCTTTATCTTCGGTTGCTTCTGATCATATCCTTTGTTCGTGTCACTTCCATGGCATTTTTTCCTTTTTGATATTAATTTATGCTTGGCCTTTTAGCCAGCACAGCCCATTCATTTTCAAAGTCCATGCAATGAGAGTGTTCTTGGTAAGACCTTGTGTGTCGTTTGGAGCTGTGGAAGTCTCCAACTGGGATTCAGTTAAAACTCCAGGCATTTTCTAGCGATTAAAAAACTGTCATGAAAATAATGAGGAGCTTTTTTTAAGGACATCTTAATCTCTTCAGAATGCCCCAGGTGGCCTCCCAGGTGGACCTTCGGAGACGTTATACGTGGGGCTTTCAGCCTGCACTGCAGCAAACTTCTTTCATTATTTTTCACAATCTTGTTAGCACAGCTCCTGTTCCCTCCACCACTTCAGGGTAACCAGTGTGATCCAGATTTATTATCTCTGACGCTGTAAAACTGTATTTTTCTGAAATTCAGCTGTGTGTGGTGCACACACTTGTATGTTTTAGTGGACTTAGCCTTTCCTATTTCTCTGTGGCCATGATGAAATTCAGGTACTGTACTTCATGTGTGTCATCTCTTCTAATCCTGTGAATAACCTGAGTGGTAAGTACTCTTTTCATCCCCATTTTACAGATGAGGAAAGTAAACTTGCTCACTGCCAGGAAGTGGTCACCTTGAACCCTAGCTGTTTGGCTTCAGCTCCTCCTTTCTTAACCACCGCTCATTATGACTTCTCTCTTTATCGTCTGTCTCTATATCCTCTCCCCTCCATCAGTTCAGCCCGTTCCACACTGGTCAGTTGTAGTACACAAATACACTTAGGGGTGAGGATTTCAAGGTACAAATAAAGACTGCATTGATTAACACTCAGCATTTTGGCTTAAACAAGTTTGCAGAGTTCCGTGGATCGCATTCTCCAGCCAAGAGTCTTGAATACACTTTAAAAAATCAAACTGTCATCCACTCCTTGCCGAGATTAAGCTAACTTCCCTTTACTCCGTTTCTCCCCTTATCCACCCTAAATCTGACCCATCCAATAAAGTTCTTTTCTGCTCAAGACCTGGCTCTTCTCCTCCCGGTCACCTACTCACTATAGTCATCAGGATCATCGTCTCAGGTTCTCCACTAATTCCTAGAAAGGAGAGTCTTCTCCTCACCCAAGACTATCACTCTAGTAATGGGACTGTGGTCATAACTTTACCACCAACCCCTCCCATGAGCTGGTGTTGCCTGACCTTTGGCCTCCAGAAAATCCTATTATTTCATATCTTATATGCTCAAAACACATGCCCTGCCCTCTCTTTTAACAATTACTGGATATTCTGAACTGTTTCTGTCTCAAGCATTTCCAAACCCATTTGTAAAGTTCAAATTTGTCCCAGTTAACTCCAGATGGGAAGGAAGTAGATATTCTTTTATAGCATCCCTTATAGATGTACCTGTCAGAGGAATCAGTGTCTGAGGAAAGGTTCTACAGTTCTGCTTTACTGGAGCAGTGCCCTGTGGTCCTGTTGTAATTAAGGATTTGTCTAAGTTCAGTTAAAAACTCCAGCACACTGCTGCATGATAAATTGGCGGTTCAGCTTTACTCCAGGCAAACGTTTGGTATAGGAGCTCCATACCACCCCAGCGCCCCTCAAAGTGAGGCACTCTGATCAGCTGTCACTATACCATGCTTAATAGAATCGATAAAATAATGAGAAAAATGAAGCAATGGGACTAGATTAGCATGCATCCTATCACAGAGGGATCAGATGTGATATAAGAAGCGACTATCCCGACTAGATGTCCTGAGGGAGCTGTTCTG